TGGAAGTTCTGGTCCCAATTGTGGTCATAAGTTGAGGACTACCTGTAAAGTAAAGATTCAGAAAGAAATCTGGCATGTGGAAATCTTTTTTCAGTACAGAACTCTACAGAAGACATGGTAATTCTATAACTAATGAAGTATTGAAGGAAATATGATTATATTGCAATAATAGATTCTTGTTAGAGGGCTGTGGGTTTCAGGCTGGCCTATAATTAATGTGTTTTATCTTATATTATTTTTTATTGGAAAAAACTGAAAACAATTTATGAGAAAACAGATAAAGGCAAGGGGATCTCTTTGCTCAATGTATGTAAGCATTTTATATATTTAAGAGTGTGGAAGCATACAAGATTGTAAATCCACTCTTGCTTAATAAAAATCATTTTAATAGTTGCAGGAAATCAGTAACTCCCTTATTCTATATGATAGTAGGTTCCATGTAATTCAGATGTTTATATATTCATATTAGTGTATGCCAAGACTTATCTAGAAAGAAGAAATGAATAGTGAGCACATTTAAGAAAAATTTTGCTCAAAAGTAATTTTTGAGAATATTAATCTTTAAAAATATTTATACAGTGATTGCGAATCTTGAGATAAAGAAGAAATTACATGAAATAAAGGAAGAAAAGCAGAAGTAATATTATTGCTGAGTTCCTAGATGCTCTGGACATGAAATGTCTTCATCTCAACTAGTCACGGATACCAATTTTTTTTCTTTAATTGTTCCTGCTGGTTTTGTTCTACATATTGATAAAATTCCGCAAGATGGAAATCCTGAAATCAACTTTTACCACTGTGAAAGTCAGGAGGCATGTGTAGAGAACAATATTCTCCCGGGTATTTCCTCAGAACAATTTGTTCTCGCTACCCTTTTTATTGACACAAAAGACGTATTTTGTAAGATTGTCCATTACAGTAATGCCTGTAAATACAAAGGTACCGCACCCTTCATACTGAATTTCCTTGCTCTGGAAAGCAAATTTCACCGTTCCGAAATATGATCCATGGCATTGATTTTGCTGATGGTGATGCCTCATGAAGTTGAGGGAAGCAGAAATGCAGCTTGTACAGAGAATGTTGCACCAACATTTCAAATGCTTAGATACAACCAGTGGATTTGGAATAAGCAGATAACTATGAAGATTTGTAAAAAAAAATTATGTCTTTGTGGATAATGTCATTACAGAGTTTAGTCATTAGACGGCACTGGCTTTAATTTTATCTGGGAAGAATCTAGAGTTTTCTGTTCTGTTCTTATTTAAAAGAGACAATAAAGTTTCTGTCTAGTTTTTTTACTGTATGTTTTCTAAGCCTTTTATCTTAATAATCATAGGGTTTCACAGGGTATAAAGTTTTACTACAAACTTCAGCCATAGATCTGCTCAACATGTAAAAACCAGCAGTGGCAAACATTCCAATTTCTCTAAGAATAGGATATTTCTTTTGAATAGTCCTTGCTCAAAAAATATTTAGAGAACTGGGCCATAATTGGAACATGCTATGATGGAGGCAACACTATCCAGGGTAAATCACTAGCTGGTATAATGTTCTTCTTTCAACCTGGGTAGAAACACACACACACACCAAAAACAAAAACAAAATAATTCATCCTCTGCCTTCTAGAATACTAGAAAGTGGTAGGATGACTTTTACTACATTGTAGTACACTGCTCAACACCAATTTGTTGAGCTAAGAATCATATAATTCCTAACCACTAACCATGCTGCAATGTGGCTGATGAGAATTGGAATCAAATACAGGTAAAGATTTTCCATGCCTACAATACTTCCCTTGGATTGTGATTTGTGAAAGTTAACAAACTGTGGGTCCTGTTGTAGCAGGTAAGCTCCAGATAGCTTCCCTGCCCTAAGTAGGAAAACAAAACAAAACACTCACACACCAAGAATAACCATTTATCAGATTGAGAGTTCCCTTACTATTGTCCTACTCATTTCTTTTAAAGCAAAAAAGGACCAACTGAGCTATTCATCTTTAGCTTATTTCTAAATTTTCTATTTATGCTAAATTAACTTTCTCTTACTCCTTAGCTGTGTGACTACATACTTTAACAATTTCCTAGAAGTGCATTCTCTAGACTACTCATCTTCCATCCCTAGATATGAACCTGTATTCATCTAACATCAACTGTTATGTTATTATATATATAATATTTTCCATGCTGAAATATATAATCTATCCATTCTCTAGCCCAAGTGTAATAATAGCAGTAGCAATAATAGTAAATGGCAAATACAATCTATAAATATAAGAATGCCCATGTTCCCTATAGTTTATAGGTGCTTATCATACAGATGTAAATTCTTACCTGAATTTATATATTTAACTCACTTTCATATTTATAATATAACTCAGTTAAGGAAAACTACAAAATATGGTGGATCGAAGTTAGAAAACATTGCTTATGTGGTATAAACTTAACTTTATTCCTTGGATCCACTTTCATGTTACTGCTGACCATCTGACTGAATATATAAAAGACTGGAGGTGCCCTCTCTAGTTCACTTTGTTCCATGCCTGAATATGAACTTGTGTCCATCTAATATCAATTGGCTATGTTGGATGGGAATTCTGGGAGCTGTAGTCCTAAATACCCAAAGGATGACAAATTGGGGGAAGCTGATTTTCAAGAAGAGTGCATCCTTATATTCAAGATAAATAGCATGCCTGTCAGGTGAATCAACAATTTATTCTGCTACTCAGAGTAGACAGTATAGGATTAAATAGATTAAAGCCTTGAACAGACATAAAGTAGATTAATTTGTATAGTTTGTATAATTAACTTTGTCTTTCCCACAAATCCCTGAATAAAAAAAGTCAGACTTGACATAAGTTATATTTTGCTCTTACTTAGTTGCTGTGTTGAGGCTCTGAATTTGAATTGGCTATTGCTGCCAGGGAACAGCTTCTTACTTATTTATCATAACACTTTTTTTTTTCTCACAATCACATTTCTCAAAATTACTATTAATCCTGCAGGGAAACAATTCAGCAATCCCTAAAGAGTTTCCTGACATCTCAAAGGATGCTGGCACTAGGGCTGCAAAACTTTTGCAAGTCAAGGGCTGTATTTGGCCTTTGGGTTATATGCCAATAGGCATATTTGAAAAAATAATGTGTTCAAGTCAAAGAAATAGATCAAGGCTGGCCCAAAAGTTAAGTTAAAGGAAATTAAAATTTAATTATGAGTAAAATGATTACTCCTGATGCATTTAATCATTTTCTTTTCTATCACATTACAAATAGGCAACAACTTTTGGAAGGGCTCTCCAGTTTACACCAGGGCTTTTAGCAGTCTCATGCAGTCTTGGACCAACAACTTTAAATAAGGGAAGGCATAATGAGACATGAAAGTCCTGTCTACTGGTTAATAAGGCCCAGTGGATGGGGTAATGGACTTGAACCACTAAGATCTAGATTAATACTTTCACCCATAACATGATGTTCACTGTATGGCCTTGGATAATCAAAATAATTTAACTAAACCTATGTCATAGGTTTGTGATAAGAGTAACATGGATTCATGTTATTTTGGTTGCCTTGAACTTTTGGAAGGAAAATACACAGTAAATAAGTATTAACAAAATGGGGAAATAAAATGTCTATGTATGCATGTGTGTATACAATAAGTTTTATGTCACTTTCACACAAGACTCTATGTGGCTTACAATTATAAAAAGGTAGCAACAATAATCACTTCAAAATACGCATTAAACTCTGACAACTGCTGTTAACCAAAGACCCTGTGGAAAAGCACATTTTTAACAGGCTTCCTAAAGATTAGCAGGATGGGAACCATTCTGACCTTGGGAAACCAACTGTTGTAGAAGGAAGGGACTGCTCCTGGCAGGACCATCCTCCAGGCCCTGGCCCCATGATCCCTCAGGCTGGGTGGGTAGATTCCACCTACCACAAATGATTCCAAAAATAGTGATGACCCAAGCTACAAAAGACTTCCTAATTAACAACTGTAGCATAGGCAATACTCTTAAATAAGTTGGCACACGACAGCAGGTGGATAACCACATTCTGTACCAACTACAGATTCCAGGTCATCTTCAAGAACAGCCTCATGTAGAGTAAATTGTAGTAGTCTAATTAAGAGATGACAAGGACATCAGTCACTGTTTACAGAGGCTGTGAACTATATCTTTCACAGAAATCTTAAGAAGAAAAGGTATAACTGAATTGTTGAATCTGTCAACAATTAAACTATACTACTGATTTTACTCCAAAACTTACATACTGTACATATACATACATACACACACAAACATACACAAATGCCTCAACAATAACTGCTGCAAGATAAATGAAGCATGCTTGACAACCATTTGGTAATGTTTGTAGAAACCATATTAACTGTAGCATATTCAATTCATGATTGGTTTTTATTTACATCTCACATCTGAGATTGATTTTTTTTAGCAGAGATGTTTTTAATACTGTAATTCTATATAAATGTAATATCATTAAGAATAAAATATTTCTTTATACTTATGTACACTTTTTTTTCCTTGAGCATACCTGTGCTCAGTATAAAGTACTTTGGGTTGTTTTGTAGGAAAAACTAAATTAAACATATTTACAAGTTGAAATGAAGCATTTCCAAATATTTGCTAGTGGTGCTAGGAGCATCTCTTTTGTTGGCTCAGATGCAGATGAAGTCTCTTCCCTGCCATTGGACTGTGGCATCTCTCTGAAATAAGACAGGAGCTGTCATGACCTCCAGCCCTTGAACTTTGCAGCATATGACAAAAGACTGTGATGAGCAGTCCTCGGCCCCATATTCAGAAGCCTCCTGGGCAGAGGAGCCAAAAGGACCCTTCAGCAGAATCTCCATCTTCCTTTCCTCTTAAAAGCATGAGATTGAAAAATGAAATGAGGGCTCTTCAGCAGTTTAGACTGTTTAGGCATTGGAGCTAATCAAAATAAAATCCTTGCTATCTAATATAAGTCTTCACTGTGCGGAAGAGAGTGAGTATTAAACTATTGTAACAGAAAGAAGCTCAGTCAGCCCAACTTATTTGGTGCTCTCCAAGGTCCTGGGCCTTGGGTTTTGCCTTATTTCTCTCTTTACTGAAGGTTCTGCCCTAACTTTTCCTGCTGCTTTAATTACTCCTTCAAGGTCAAAGAGTGAGATTTATATTTCATATTTATAAATCAGACAAAAAGAGAAAACTGGTTGAAAGTAAAGCACCTTACAGTACCGACACATTTTCTAGCCAATATGCTAATATGCTGTCTGTTATTACAGGATCTATTTGCCTCTGACCGACTTGATTACATATGCACAAATACATACAAATACTATATATATATAGTATTTGTCAATGCATTTTCACTCAAAGGAAACTTTGCAATGCTATCTTTGGAACTTGCACCACCATGGTTAAGTAAAAGGTTCCTAATAGCTTGTTATTATTATATATTAGAATTCAAAAAGGTACTTCATAATCATCAAAGCAGCTACATCTTTTGTAAAGCTACCATAGTTGCTTTGGAAGCTGTTCGAAATTCTAAATAAGATAAAATACCAAGACCAAGTGGCTGTGTGTGTTTGGGCTGCCTGGAGCTGGGGATATTTCATCTTTGACCTTGGATGGTGTGGTACCCCATTCAAGGGTGGCACACAACTTGGGGGTGTTCTTGGACTCACAGCTCCTGCTCAATGTGCAGATGGTAGCTGTGGCCAAAAAGGCCTTTGAACAGCTCCATCTGGTGCACCAGTTGCACCTTTCCTAGATTTCCATTCAGATAGTCACTCCTGCCCTGGTCATTTCACGGCTAGACTACTGCAATGTGCTGTACATGGGATTGCCTTTGAAGAGCATTCAGAGGCTTCAAATGTTCAAGAATGCAGCAGCACAATCAGTAACAGGCATGCCTTGGTATGCCAGTGTACACCTCTGCTTTGCAAGCTGGACTGGTTGCCAGTTTGCTTCTGGGTGCAATTCAAGGTGGTGGTTGTTACCTATAAGCCCCATATGGCATAGGGCCTGGCTACTTGAGGGACTACCTATCTTCTATAGTATTTGCCCAGCCAATTCAATCTGATAGGGATGGGATGCTCCAGGTTCCTTCAATTAAGTGTGCCTTCTCTGTTGTAGTGCCTGCCCTATGGAATGTGGTTCCACCCCAAGATCTTAATGGCCCCCACTCTACCAGTGTTTCAAAGGGGCCTGAAGACCTGGCTCTTCATC